ATGGCAATGAAATTTGTTTTTATTATCAAGAGATCTCATGTATATGCATGCACCATAAGCGCTTTGCGACGCATCAGCGAAGCCATGGAGTTCAATTGATTGAGGTGAAAAACAAAGTGTATGTCTGGGAACTTTTAGCTTATTTAACTCATTTAAATCCTGTTTAAAAGAATTCCATTTTGTATGAAGACTCAGGGGTACAGATTCATCCCATGAGGTTTGCAATTGCCAAAGTTTTTGTAATATTATTTTTGCAGTAATAATAGTAGGTGATAATAATCCTAGAGGATCGAATATTTGGGCTATTGAACTTAAAATTAATCTTTTAATAACAGGTTGAATTGATTCATTTACTTTAACTGAATAAGTCAAAATGTCTTGTTTCGGTTGCCAAAATAGGCCTAACGTTTTTGACAGTTCATTATTCCCTAAGTTAATAAAATCTGAACCACTATCTTGGCTAGAAATAATTTCAGGACAGTTTGATATCCATTTTCTAAGTTGGAACCCATATGAAGACAGAATATTTGTTAAATCAGACTTAGTTTGGATAACTTGTTCCTTTGTCGTACTGCCAGTCAATAGGTCATCTACGTAAAAGTCGTTTAAAATTATTGAACTAAGAGTAGGGTTTTGGATGGATATTTGATGACCAATTTCATGGAGACATCCTATGGCTAAATACGACGCCGACGCAGTTCCATAAGTCACTGTGATTAGCTCATAAACGGAAAAAGGTTCAGACGGTTCATCACGCCATAATATTTTTTGCAGATAACGTTGATCTTTACTGACCAGTACTTGCCTGTACATTTTAGCTATAGCAGCAGCTATTACAAAATTATGTTGACGAAACCTAATTAATATTGAAAATAACTCGTGTTGGATAGTCGGACCTACCATCATCAAGTCGTTTAAAGAATAGCCTGTTGCAGATTTGGCTGAGCCATCAAAAACTACGCGAAGTTTCGTGGTCGTGCTATCTTGTTTTAATACGCAATGATGCGGTAGAAAGAACCCTGTATTTGTTTCAAGATCTGACACTAATGTCATATGATTTATGTATATGTATAAATTTTGAATACTGTGTTTTCAATTCAGGATTATTTGAAAGTCTTTTTTCTAAAGAAATAAATATATTTTCAGCATATTTTCTTGATTCCCCTAACTTAGAAATCGGTTCCTTTAATGTAAATCGTACTACAAACCTGCCCGATTCATTACGTTTTGTATGTTTTGCAAAATGCTCTTCACAAAAAGATTCTTCGATAGATAAATGCCTTTTACAGGGTGATAACTCTTCGATGTTCCAAAATCTTTGTAACTGTTTACTTAAAATGTTTAGATTATCGTCTGAATTCATGTTTATACTCAAATTGCAAATTACATTGTTTTTAGGAATGTTTTCTAATGAGATCGGTCCAGAAACAACTCAACCTAAACTGGTTTTTTGCAATATCGGAGCATTGCGTCCAAGTTTTATATGCCCTGCGCATAAGAGGTCCTAAAATGTATCGGCTCCTATGAGCATGTCTATTTTTCCAGCAATATTAAAATTGGGGTCTGCTAAAAACAAGTTTGGTGGTATAGTTAAATCATTTTTATCAAATGTTATACAGGGAATACTGTTTGTAATATTTTCAATAATTAAACAAGACAAAGTCGTGTGAAAAGAATTTATACGAGAATGTATTTTAACGAAAGTTCTAGAACTAATATTTGAGGTTGTACTATTAAGTCCTGAAACGAGAATTTGAATTTTTTCTGATTTTAAATTAAATTTATTACAAAAATCTTTAGTGATAAAATTGTTTTGTGATCCACTATCTAGTAGAATCCTGCAATTATGTGAGTTACCCGCATGGTCTAATATATTTACTACAGCCGTTGAAAGCAAAATGCAATTTTTGTCTTTTAAAGAACAATATGAATTTGAAAGCGATACTTGATTTGAAAGCTGCGCTTTCAGAATTTGTTTGAGTGTTACTATCAGAAGAAGTATTTGGAATGTCACCTTTAGAATTTTCAAAATGTAACAGTGTATTGTGAGCCTTTCCGCATTTTCTACATTTAAGGGCTTTACAATGTTTCGTTATATGATTATCACGCAAACAGTTAACGCATAATCTTAGCCGCCTTGCTTCTTGGTATTTTTCAACGCTACTTAACGCAAGAAATTTTGGACAATTTTGAATTGTATGTTCATTATTGCATAATGCACAAGACAAGATTTATATTTATTTTTATTGACAGAATCTTGAGAATATACATCATTTTCTTTAGATTTTTGTAATATTTTGTATCTTTCAGTTAAAAATTGATTCAAGTCTTTTAATGTAGGCTTTTTAATTACAGCAATTTTTGCGTCCCATTTACGCCTAGAATAAGTATCAAGTTTTGTATAAACTAAATGTATTATTAAAGTGTCCCAATATTCAATGGGTTCACCAAGTTTTTTAAGAATGGATAAATTACGCGTCATTGCATCATGTAATTGACGAATACCAATGTGCGATTCTTTTGTTAACAAGGGTAAGTTAAATAATATTTTTATATGGTGCGAAATTAATGCCGATTCGTCTTCGTACCGATCGAGTGTTTTTCCAAGCTACGCCATAACTATCGTCAGATATTTGAAGGTCACGCAAGATTTCTGCTGCTTCACCTTTAAGAGCGAGTCGCGAGAATAATGCAATTTGTTTACATCCGATAAGTTTTGCTTATTGTGAATAACAGATTTAAATGTGTCTCGGAAGTAGAGCCAATCATGCAAAGAACCATCAAAAGTCGGTAAATTTACTTCAGGTAATTTAATGTCAAGATTTTGATCACCTGGATTGCAGTTATTTTGCATAACTGGATGATTATTATTGGAATTGAAAATACGAGATTCTTGTGTGGCACTAGCATTCTGTAGCAAATTTGGGCCATTATTTAAACTTTGTTGTGAACAAATACTTTCATTTGACGAAAGTGACTCAATAGATTCGCGAGAACGCAATATAATATTTTTAGCTGTACTAATTAACCTATAATAATTTTCTTCGAAGTTTTCACGCTCATCTGATTGAATAACAACTTCATCGTCGCCAGCAATTAACGTTTCAATTTCGAATTGAATATTATTGAATTCCTCTAACAAAGGAGATATGCTTTCCATACGCGTTTTTAAAACGACATAATCAGTATTTTTCTCGGCTACAAACTTGCTTAGGAAGGTATCAAATCGAGTTATTGCGGATCGAATAACCGCCCGTTTTGCCTTATGTGTTTTTAATTGATCGGCCATATTTAATATTCTAGCACAAATAAATAAATGGATATGAAATAGAAAAGAATGATATGGAACGCACCCACCTCTACTATAGCTCTCCACTGGTGCTGGGCCGCTCTTCTGGGATCAAGTGTTTGTTTGTTCGATGCAGGTGGACAAATTTCACGCCGCTTCCCTGCCTCAGCTAATTCGCTCATAGTTAAAATTCTTGATCGCTGGTGATAATCACGCTCTGAAGGACCATATGTTGATGTGTTTATGCACTTTTGAATGTTTTATTTTATAATTTATTTAGTAAAATAACAAATATTTTAATAACGTACAATACGTGTGTATACTATGACATATCAAGCGAGTCTTGTCGGAACCGTAGCATGGCGGGGTAGCCAACTACACTAGGTGGGGGCACTGCCGGTGCTGCCAACCTTGTAGGCAAAATATTCAAAAAAGAAACGGTGCAACAATGCGTATAGGTATTTTAACTAAATCTCACTAATTAGGCCGTGAGATGCCTAATTACTCATGGACAATGTTATATGGTAGGCCGTGACAGTGACAGATAATGTCATGATAGCATTGTTATTGATTGACAGTTTTTATTATTATTTAATTAAAATAGGTTACACAGCAGTAGAAAATTGAAATATTATTAGGAACTAAAATGGAGTATAGAGAAATTCTTTGTTCTCGAAGAACGATTACTTTACGATCGAAGAAAATATTAGAAACAAACAAGACAGAAATGAGTTATATAAAAAAATGGAAGAAAGAAAGGTGAAAGTATTGGAAGAACCTACTGAAAGATAGAAACATATAGGTAAGTATTTTTATAGCTATAGTTCGTACCTATCATTATTTTTTTTCTAGATGAGAGGTTTTATAAATATAAATATATTTAGTTTTCTATCATTCAAATATACCTCAAGAGACTGAAGGGGTTGTCAGTTTTTACTTTTTATGTCTTGTGAAGAAGTAGTTATATGTAATAAAATAAAATATTTTAATAAAAGTTTTTTATTTATAATACATTAAGCAAACATTTCAGCAAAAATTGCATCACGTTTTGATAACTGTTCTGTCATTCCTGTAATATAATTCACACAATCATTATTATCAATAGTTTCTTCTACATCGTCTGTTACATCATTATTATTATTAATACATATTATATTGTGCAGAACTGCAGCTGCTGTGATACATTTTACGACAAAACTTAAATGGTAATTTTCACAATGTTTAAGTCTCCTAAACCTTCCTTTTAAGAGACCGAAAGCATTTGAAGAGAGTTTGTAATTAATTGTTTTCTGATTTTCTGTTAATTGTCTCTAAAGGTCGAAATCAACCATTCGAAACATGGATAGGCGGAATCACCTTGTTAGGAATTTAGATTAGGTTACGTTAGTAGTTTCTGTTAGAAAAAGAAGAAAAAAACCGAGTAGGTATAAAAAAAATAGATGTCATGAAAAAGTAAATAAAACGTCATTGGAAATAAAGTATTGTTCTTATCACCGTGTTACCTCTTTATGCAAATAGAAAAGGAGACCGTCGAAGGCAGTTAACGACGGGTAGTTGTTTGGTGTCTCGACATAGTTTATGGCGACCGTGACAGGACTCTGTGATAAGTGAGGTTAATAAAAAAGGACGAGATATTCGTAAGAAATACGACCGCAAAAGACTTAGCTCGATACAACGTATATTGAAAACGTTGATATTCCTCCAGTTAATCATGGCAGAATTGGACAGGAAAAAGAACAGTAGAGCTGTAGTTCGCGGTGCTTTCACACGTTTGGGAAACGAACTGGAACAACTTTTATCGGCGCAGATTGTAGATTTGCAAAAGGCTCAAGTTACATGGGAGCTTTTGCGCGAGAAATGCGACGATTTGAAGGAGCTGGATGCCCATTTGTATGAATTACTGTTAGACGATGGTACCGAAGAAGAATTGCTGAATAAGGTAGGAGCTTGTGACATATAAAAAGCGATATGCTGATTTAAGAATGACATTGGAAAAATGTCAGGGAAGCAAGGCAGAAGATGATCATGATCACGTCTCAATAATGTCAGGGCCCGTCATGGATAATGGAAATTTAGGAAAGCGAAAATTCAAACTTCCTGAAATAGAATTTAAGCGCTATGACGGCAACATCAGAGACTGGCTGTCTTTTTGGGCACAATTTAAAAAAGTACACGAGGACCCAGAAATTGACAATCATGATAAAATTGAATATTTGTTACAAGCAACTGTACCAAATTCTAGAGCTAGACAGCTTGTCGAAAGTTTTCCTGTGATTGGAGCAAATTACAGTAAAATCATAAAATGCATGCAATCACGATTCGGGAGAGAAGATCTTCAAATTGAGTTTTATGTAAGGGAACTTCTCACCTTAATTTTAAATAATGCAGTTTCGAAAGATAAGATGGATTTGTGTACATTGTACGATAGAATCGAAACACAAATCAGGTCACTCGAAACGTTAGGCATCACTTCAGAAAAATGTTCCGCATTACTTTTTCCCCTTATTGAGTCTTGCTTGCCACAAGAGTTATTACGTGTTTGGCAACGTACTGCACAAGCTGTTCAAATGGTTGGCAGCACGACGAATTTGCCTCGGCAATTGTCTCTTGTTGAAGTTTCTCTAGAGAATCGACTTGAAAGCCTAATGCAATTTTTAAAAAATGAAGTCGAAAATGAACAAAGAATTACATTGGTCACAGAAAATTTTGGGTTATCTGCAGGACATTCACCGGGTCATGGCGGTGCCAAGTCTAGGGTCGAGAGAAAAATGGATAGAGTTGGGGTAGCGTTACCTTCGGCTACAGATTTAGTAAACTGCGACGCGAATAAATGTGTTTTTTGTAATAATCTGCATAAGAGTCAGGACTGCGTGAAAGCGCGTAAAATCAGTTTAGAAGATCGGAGAAAACAGTTAACAGACAAACGAGCGTGTTTTCGGTGTCTTATGTCAGGTCACATGGCAAAAAAGTGTCGCGTGCGCCTATGCTGCGTGATTTGTTCGCGATCACATGTACCAATTATGTGTCCACAATTACCTTCGAATAAAGCCGTTGAGGACAATGTAAATCCTGTTACGGAACAGACTCTTACTAATTGTACTAGACATCACGTGTTTTTACAGACTCTAAGGGTAAAGTTGAAAGGCGCCAGAGAAAGGTCTTGCGTTTTGCGCGCTTTAATCGACAGTGGGTCCCAGAGGTCCTATATTCTAAGATCTACAGCCATGAAGTTAGGATATAGACCTAAACGAACAGAAAGTATTGTCCATTGTCTATTTGGCGGAAAAACCATGACACAAATTCACAATTGCTATGATGTTACTGTTTGCAAGGATAGCTATTCTTTGACATTTGAAGTTCTTGACCAGCCTGCTATTTGTACCGATATTTTACCAGTTTTCGATGGTACTTGGATGGAAGAAGTTCGCAGTTTGAATATTGAACTTTCTGATGTAAATGAACCTGGACCAATCGAACTGTTACTTGGAGCAGATGTGGCTGGTAAAATCTATGGTGGCGACTATAGAGAATTGAAATGTGGACTAATTGCTATCAAGACATGTCTGGGGTGGACTCTCATGGGTAAAATTTCTACTGAGGAGAACATCGAATATTCCAACCTGGCATTAACAACCTTGTCCCTGTTGATAAAAGAAGCATCCATCACCGAATTATGGCGGCTTGATGTTTTGGGTATTACCGAACCTTCAGAAAGGAAAACCAAGGAGGAGCTAGCCGATGATGCTAAGGATTTCTTTTTGCGTACTGTGAAGATAAATCACGGGAGGTATGAAGTCAGGCTGCCGTGGATCGCCGGACACCCTCCACTCCCAGATAATTATAACCTCGCAAAAAGGAGACTACAGTCCACTATTAGAAAACTAGAGAACGAGAACATGACGGAAGAGTATGATCAGGTTCTACAAGAATGGCTCTCGATGGGTATCATAGAGGAGTTTGCAGATAATGTAGGAGTTTTACCAGTTCATTATTTGCCTCATAGGGCTGTGGTAAAACCTGAAAGTACTACCAAGATACGTCCTGTTTTTGATGCGTCTGCTCATGAAAAGGGAACACCTTCGATCAATGATTGTCTAGAGAAGGGCCCAAATCTAATTGAAGAAATTCCTTCGATACTGTTGAGATTCAGAGAAAATCAAATAGGTGTCACTTCAGATATTAAGAAAGCCTTTCTTCAAATCGGTATCCATCCCAGCGATAGAGATTTTCTCAGATTTTTATGGATAGGGCCAGACGGAAAAGAAAAGACTTATCGACACAGACGAGTTGTGTTTGGAGTTAACTGTAGTCCATTTTTGTTGGGAAAAACTATTGAATATCATCTTGACCGTTGTCTGGAAATGTGTACGAAAACTGATACTCCCTATACAGTAGACTCTGTCGTTAAATTGTCGAAAAGTTTTTATGTGGATAATTGCATCACAAGTGTTCCGGATGAGACCAGTTTGAGGCAGTTCATTCAAGAAGCAACAATGATAATGAAACAGGGTAAATTTGAACTCAGAGGGTGGGAGCACTCTCGAAAAGAACACGAGAAAGAAGCGTTTGCTCCTGTACTCGGTCTGAAATGGTGTTTAACAAGAGACACTTTAATGGTCAATGATACTTCGTTGACAGGAGACTTGGATTTGGAAGGCATAGCTGTAACGAAGCGATTAATTCTTTCAATGGCTCAACGATTGTTTGACCCCATTGGGTTCACGAGTCCTGCTACTCTAATGCCCAAGTTATGGTTGCAATGTCTTTGGGGGAAGAAATTGCGCTGGGACGATTCAGTTGATGTTGAAACGGAGCAAGCATTTCGACAGTGGATTAGAGACCTACCATATCTTTTCAAGATAGAGATCCCACGTTGGATCGGTGGGGGAACTGATCAGGTGCGACATGTCAGTATCCACACTTTTTGCGATGCAAGTAAAAGTGTTTTTGCATGTGTTATCTTCCTCAGAATTGTAACTAGAGGTCATGTGTCTATTCACTTATTGGCGGCAAAAGCTAGAGTTGCTCCGCTTCATAAATTAACCATACCTCGTCTGGAGTTACTGGCTGCAACCATTGGTGCCAGATTATATGTCAAAACTGTAAAGAATTTGAATGGCGAAATCGAATCCTATTTTTGGAGCGACTCTTCAACTGTTGTGGCATGGATTCAAAGGAAAGAAGAGTGGGCTACATTCGTTTGGAACAGAGTTGCAGAAATTCGGGCGCTAACTCATCCAAAATTATGGAGACACATACCTGGTTCAAAAAAACCCGCTGATTTACCTTCACGAGGCTGCTCGCCTAAATACTTATTGGAGTCAAAATGGTGGGAGGGCCCAGAATGGTTATATGAAAGTCCGGATAGTTGGCCAACTGACGAATTGGCTTGCGACGAGCTGGAGATTAATCTGGAGAAAAAGAGGAAACTAGCCACCACCCTTTTGTGTTCAGCGGCTGATGAATGGCATCTTGATTATTTCTCTGGCTATACCAGGACTATAAGAATGGTAGCCTGGATATACAGGTTTTGTTATAACCTCAAACATCCCGAAGAAAGGCGCAGAGGTGAATTAACTACGGATGAAATGGATAAGGGCGAAACTTATGTTATTAAGATGATACAGGCTCAGAGTTTCTCAGGTGAAGATGAGAAGAGGTTAAGCGGTTTAAAGCCATTTTGTGACGAACATGGTATTTTGAGACTGAAAACAAGAATTTCGAGAAGGGAAGACCTAGAAAATTTTAGATTTCCCATGATACTACCTTCTAAACATCCTGTTGTGGAGAAGCTGATATTACAAATGCACAAGGAAAAGTCGCATGCTGGTCCCCAGATACTTCTTAGTTTGCTGCGTGAATCTTACTGGATTCTAGGAGGGCGACGCACCGTCAAATCAGCTTTATCTCAGTGTGTTGTTTGCAAGAGGTATAATTCTAAACACTTTGTTGTTGAACCTCCCCCACTACCTAAGGACAGGGTGCGTGACGCGGTGGCGTTTGAAGTGACAGGAGTGGATATGGCAGGACCATTATACCTTAAAACAGGAGAAAAGGCATGGGTGTGTATGTTTACATGTACTATTTACCGCGCTGTACACTTTGAGTTGTGCACATCTATGTCGTCACCTTGTTTTATGAAAGCTTTTAGACGATTCGTGGTGAGACGTGGTCGACCTAAAGTAATTTATAGTGACTGCGGTACGAACTTTGTAGGGACTGAGAATGCTCTATCGCAGTTAGACTGGGAAACCATTTTCCGAGAAACCTCTACCCAACGGATAAAATGGAAGTTTAACCCACCTACCGCGGCTTGGTGGGGCGGTTTCTGGGAGCGTTTGATCGGTATTGTGAAGCAAATGTTGCGAAAGGTTCTTGGTCGCTCTAGTTTTAATTATGAGGATTTAATGACTATACTATGCGATTGTGAATCTGTGATAAATTCACGACCACTTACTTGTATCTCTAATGACCCGAAAGACTTGGTACCTATTACTCCATCCATGTTTTTGAGAGACCTGGTAGATAGTGATTTACCTGATTGTGATATTATAGACCAGAATTCACTCAATCGAAAGCTACGTTATCGACAAAAAATTAGTTTGGATCTCCGTCATCGCTTTCGAAGCGAATATCTTGGTCAACTAAAACTCAAATTTAATAAAAGGCCAAGTCGACCAATTACACTTGGAGAAGTAGTCCTTGTAGGCAACGATATCGATAAACGTTTACACTGGCCTCTTGGACGAATAATCGAGATCATTCCTGGCACTGATGGAAAAATTCGACTCGTCAGGGTAAAAACAGAGCGAGGGCAACTTTTACGTCCTATACAACGAATCTACCCTCTGGAATGTCTGATTGTCACTACGGCAGATGAAGACTCATCCCTGCAAGATCATCCGGATGCAGAAGTAGAAGACGCCCCCCATTATCAGCAAGGAGAGTAATCTTGTGATCATGGAAGTGCGGGAATGAGTGTAAAGAGCAGAGCACCCGAAAGAATTTCGCGAAGTGGTCGAGTGATTCATATGCCAAAAAGATACCTGTAATGCCTCCTATTTTGTAACCTGTTTAATATTGTTTTCCTTTGTTTATTTGTGAGTCACCTTTGTGTTAATAAAAAGGTTCCTCAGGTGGGAGGATGTTAGGAATTTAGATTAGGTTACGTTAGTAGATTCTGTTAGAAAAAGAAGAAAAAAACCGAGTAGATATAAAAAAAATAGATGTCATGAAAAAGTAAATAAAACGTCATTGGAAATAAAGTATTGTTCTTATCACCGTGTTACCTCTTTATGCAAATAGAAAAGGAGACCGTCGAAGGCAGTTAACGACGGGTAGTTGTTTGGTGTCTCGACACACCTATTAAAAAATTATTACCCAAGAATCCATTTGAGCATTTTTCATACAGTGCAGATTTGTTCAGGAGTCGACTATCATAAAGTGATCCGGGTTCCAAACAGAAAAAATCTATGAACCTCTTTTGAGTATCACATACACCTTGAATAAGGATACTGTAGTCTCCTTTTTTATTGTAATATTCGTGTGAATATTTTGTATTCGGTTTTTTAATGGGTATGTGGCTACCATCTATTGCCCCCACTGCACCATCAATGCCCTGTAATGCATAAAATTCCAATTTTTTTTTATTTAACCTTTCAATAGTTGGCGATTTAATAAACTCTTTGCTTTTCTTAATTAAATATTCTATAATTCTAGAAATAATTCGGTGAGATGAGCCTTTGCTAACATTAAACCTATCAGAAATTTTTCTGAAGGTCTCCATATTGGAAAGGTACCATAATGTCATAAGAAAGGCTATTTTATATTAATTATAAAAATTATAATAACCAATTATTATATTGCAAGTTGAACGACTTAGTCGAAAATGTTCTCTATATTCTTGATCATCGTATAAAAAAATAGTATCCATATGATGTTACCACCCTATGCAAATTTCTTCGTTTAGGGCCAGATGAATTAGAAGTATTTTTTACATTATATTTATAGCATTTCAAGCTGCAAAATACTTACCTCAGTTATAATTTTTGTAGAATTAAAAAATAAAATAAAAAATAAAATAAAATAAATTGAAATAATTTGAAAAATAATTATATTTTAGTTAGGTTAGGATTTAGTTTCATCTCAGTTTAATTTCATTATGGTGTTTCTTTTAAATATGTAAATATGACGTCACTTAACTGAAGAGAGGACTCTCACATCACATCAAACTCAGACTCAGTTCAAATCTTACCAGATAAAAGTTCGGAATGTATATTTTCCATATCTATAATTGATGATCGAACGCACTTACCTGTGTGAAGTTCGATCACAATTGTATGAGGCGGCCAATCCGAATATATCACCTTTTACCACGTAGTACACCCTGTAGTACTTAGCGCGCACTATATTTAAAGCATCTCTACTCCCACTTCCCCATCTGCTCTCTACTTGGTTGGCTCTTAGCTTGCATTTCGTTAGATATCCTGTAAGTAATCGCAATCCGAGGTGTTCCTTCGTTAAACCGTGTCGTAACACGCTAATTATATAATAACTATTTGTATGTCTCAGTTATATATAGTTTATTGTTTCGGTTTTGGGTGGGTTGGTGATATATTCGAATTGGCCGCCTCATATAATTGTGATCGAACTTCACACAGGTAAGTTCATTTGATCATCAATTATATTTCAGTGGCCAATCCTCTATATCACCTTTTACAACATAGTTGTTTAGAGACGTGATGCGATTACTATTCTTTCACATGTTTGAAGCTGAAGGCACATTGTATCCTAAGTTCGTGACGAAATATTTAGAGAAAAATCCTTGGTAAATAAACTATAGGTATATTTTTATTGAGATGGATTTACATTACATATTTTGTATAATAAATGATAACAGACACAGCTTATTTTCAACTAAAGTGCAGGTTGTTCTACGATAGTGACTTCGAAACGGAAAACCAAATTAACGTATTTCTTTAATTCATTTTCCACTCAAACTAAGGATTGCCTTGGCGAAGTCAGTGTCGTGACAAATACGTCTGTGGTAGAATTTTGCAAATGTGGATTCCTCGGACCACCCTGCAGTTTTGACAATGCAGTCTATTGATATGCCTTGACTGTATGCAATTGGGGTCGACGCATGTCTAATCGAGTGAGGCTTAAATATTTTGGTATCTATTCCAGCCACTTTCAACGTTTCTTTTATCCGTCTGCTGAGTGACTGTTTATTTGTCTTACCGTGAGGTTTCCTGTGCGTCAGAAACAAGAAGTCATGTTCTGGGTATCTCAGTGATCGTGTCCTATCTTCGTAAGCATCCAGTGTAGACAAAAGAGAATTCTCAGTAAAATGAAGACAACGCTGCATTCTATTGGTGGCTGACGTTTTGATAGGGTCCGTTATAAATATTTGTATTTTGGACGGTGTTCTTATGATGTTTGATTTTCGAATTAGTGCAAGAATTTGCAACCGGTGGCCTGTAACTAGCAATAATAGGCTAACCAATTTGTATGAAAGCTCTTTGAGTGATAGCTCAAAGTTATTACCCAAATGTTTTAGATGGTTTATCACTAGTTCTGGGTGTTTAATACACGCTTTTTTGGGGTTGTAAACAAGATTATTAAATCAAGAATAATTTGGCGGCTGCTGTTGTCCTCGGCTGGAGCTCCAGGAATAATAAAGTTTTTTAATAGAAATAGATGGGATTACTTACAGTATATTACGTTGATAATCAGCGTTAAATTTCGATATTAGTCTGGGAGTTGCGAGAACAGGATCTAGTTGCCTCGTCCCTGTCTGCTAACAGTTGGGGTTTTATACAAGTACAGCTGAGTTGTAAGCCTAGCCGTAGCTAGCGGCGTACTGTAGGGAAAATGGGTTGGGGCGACGAAGACGGTCGTGTTCGGATTGGAATGCGGACCGGGTGAGCTGCTGGTTATATACGCGTGAGGACTTAATACTGGGTCCCAAGTGGTGATATATTTAGGCTGAGAAGGATGCATTTTTGATATACCTTTCATAAATCGTGTGATGATTGAATCCGTTTCCATATTTTCCAGTAAAATTAGGGAAAGAGCAGATCTGTGAGAATTCATGGTCCCGTTTTTATACCTCTTCTGCTGGAATATTATTTGCAAGAATGACTCGCCCTGTGGAATACTTGTTTGAAGTACATTAATGTTTTGGTCCTGACAGAATTCCCACCACATCTTAAAAGTTGATTCGTATTGTTTCAAGGTGGAAGTGGAGATGGAGTGTCCAGGACACACTCTGGCACCTTCAGCGTGAAAGCTTCCCTGATAATTTCCCGACCACCAAGATAAGCGATTTTGACAAGGGATGAAGATGGCTAAAATGAGAAAACAAATCGCTACAGTAGATATAATAGGCCGGTTCTGGACCAGGAAGTGACGTGGCAAGGTCACATGGGGTCAAGGTTACCCCAAGGTCACCAGGGGTTAAGGTCACCTGAGGTCAAGGTCACCTGGGGTCAAGGTCGCCCCAAGGTCACCTAGGGTCAAGGTCACACCAAGGTCACCTGGGGTCAAGGTCACCTGGGGTCAAGGTCACCACATAGTCAGTGTTTATCGAGTTCGGCGCGCTCCTTCAGCGGCTTCTTGTGGGCATTGTCGTTGTGCAAGAGATGAGTGGGTGTTGGCATGCAAGAAGTGTCATGGCGGCATGGAAGTATCGTCATACAAGAAGTGTCATGGCGGCATGGAAGTATCGTCATACAAGAAGTGTCATGGCGGCATGGAAGTGACGTCACATGGCCAGTTGGTGGTAAATTTAAAATTCAATCACAATAAGGGGAGGTCAATGACCTCCAAACAGCATTGCGTCATTCTTATCTGGTATTGCAGCATTCGAGATCAAGTTTCTACAAGTTCAGACCTGTTTTTTAGCATAAACTGTAACCTGATATATTATTTCCTTTAATACTGCCACGCTAGCATAAACTTTAACCTGATATATTATTTCCTTTAACAGCATTGCATCATTCTTATCTGGTATTGCATCATTCGAGGGCAATGACCTCCAAACAGCATTGCATCATTCTTATCCGGTGTTGCATCATTGTAGCCCAAGGTCACGTTAAGGTCATTGACCTCTGGTCGTCTGGGGCCAAGGTCATGTCAAGGCCATGACCCCCTGGTCGTCTGGGGTCAAGGTCACGCCGAGGGCAAGTCAAGGTCATGACCTCGGGTCGTCTGGGGTCAAGGTCACGCCAAGGTCATGACCCCCTGGTCGTCTGGGGTCAAGGTCACGCCAAGGTCAAGTCTTGGTCATGGCCTCTGGTCGTCTGGGGTCAAGGTCACGTCAAGGTCAAGTCAAGGTCATCGACCTCAGGTCGTCTGGGAACAAGGTCACGTCAAGGACATGTCAAGGTCATCGACCTCTGGTCGTCTGGGGTCAAGGTCATGACCTCTGGTCGTCTGGGGTTAAGGTCACCTCAATTTAAGACATGTTTTCTGCAGGTCCAAACTTGTTCTCCACTGGTTCAGACCTGTTTTGTACAAGTTCTGACTTGCATTTTAGTATAAACTGTAACCTGATATATTATTATTAATTGTAGTGTTAGCAAAAAATTGTGGCCTAATATGTAGGCTTGCTAGTAAACCTGGCATGANAACTGTTGCCCAAATTAAAAATAAAATTCAATATTTGAAAAAGAAAGAAGCAAAGATGTAAACTATTCTTTTATTTTTTATTTTATTTTATGTACTTATTAAAATTAAAAAATATATGTATTCTATTGTGGTTTGTTTTTTACCGCCGCCTCTGCGATCTTAGATCTGACGGTTTATATAGTTATGGTTATCTAGCAGAAAACGCGATTAAAACTAATTTTAATATATACGGTGCCAGAGTGTACATACAATAATTGGAAATATACGGGGTCAGTTGGGCATAGAACGTCATAATAATTTGGGTGCGAGAACGTGTATT